GGGGGGGACCGTCTGCTGCATTCGGGGCTTTGGGCCGTGTGCCCCCCGATTTTGCTTGGGGGCACGCTGTGGGGCTGGAGGAACCCAACGGGCCCACCCCCCTTGCGAAGGCCCTATTCCACCTTGCGGAGAGCACACTCTCGAGAGAGAAAGAGAGAGAGAGCGAGGAGATCCGCCACTGTTCTGTGCGCAGCCCAGCCGCGCAGCAAAGAAACGTGGCGCACCCAAATTGTGCGCGCGTGCGGCTCTCCCCGCGGTGCTCGCGCCCTCTGGGATCTCGGGTGCGAAAAGGGTGCCAAGCAGCCAACTACGATGGGGGCGCTTCTTTCACATGAGCGAGAGCCCAGCACGGGTGTGCCTCGCGCCCATGGATTGCGTGTCGCTCGCAGATCTCTGCGCGCAGCTCTTCCTTCTCCATCCTTTTCCCTCTTTTTTGCCCTCGTCTTTTTCCCTAACCATGCTGACTTTCGCCCTCTCTTCTCCTCTCCCTTGCACACACCCCAGGCTGCGTCTCGTCGACGTCAAGGCCGAGCACTTTGAGCGCCAGGTGCAGCGCGTCGAGCAGGAGCGCGACGCCTGGGAGGCGCGCCACGAGGAGGCCGAGCAGCGCTTCCAGGCCAGCAAGCGCGAGCTCGAGGAGGTCGTGGCGCAGATGGAGAGCCTCTAAAGCCGTCGCGCTCGCAGTCGCAGTCGCAGTCGCAGTCGCGGGCTGCTGAAGCTCTGCAAGGCTCTGTTCTCATCTGCCACTGTCATGCCAGCGAGGGCGAAGGGCTCGAGAAACTTGCGACGTGGGGGAGGGGATGAATACTTGATGCGTTGAACTCACCCCCCCCCCCCCCGATGCCTGTTTCGTGCCGCGTCTTGACCTGTGTAGAGCGCCCCGGCGAACGCGCAAGCCTGGCAGAGGCGGCGGTCCATGAAAGCCGCGTGCGCCGCGTGGGCGTCGTGGTTGCCAGAGGGAGGGCAAGCGTTGATCACGCTTTGCAATCTCGCCCCTTGGCTTCTCAAACCCTCATGTTGCTCGCCCTCAATGTCCCCTGCGCAGGGGGGAGGGGGTGGAGGGGTGGGTGGGGCATCCGAACAGTAAGCCTGCCGTCTCGTGGGCTGAGTGTGCTGGTGGCGCGACGCATGCTTGGCCTGCTTGCCTCCAGGACACAACGATCGCCACCACACGACGACGCGCGCGCGCGGGCGGGCAGAAAAAGGAGCAAGTGTGTTTGCAAAGCATGGGGGGTCGCTAGAGGATATACAGAGTGGGCATTGCTGAGACGTGGTGTGAAGCATCA